AAATCTTAACCCTGAATACACAAATGTTCAATATCCTACATGAAGAAATGCACGGTTCATAGCTAGCCCTTCTACTGCCCCATGAAAGACAGTGGCTGCCCAGAGCAAAAACACTTGCACAACCGACTGTTTGAGTTACAAGCTGAACTAGCCACTTTTTCTATGGAATACCGCTTTTTTTTTTTTTAAGATTTTATTTGAGAGAGAGAAAAAAAGCATGAGCAGGGGGAGGGGCAGAGGGAGAAACAGACTCCCTGCTGAGCACAGAGCCTGACATGGGGCTCAATCCCAGGACCCCAGGACATGACCTGAGCTGAAGGCAGATGCTTCACCGACTGAGCCACCCAGGCGTCCCTAAAATACCACTTTTACTTGAAAGAATGACCAACGGACAGACTATTCAGTTGTTGACGGCATTTTCTTGAGAATGGATGATGTGAGCTGGCTGCTTCAAAGTAAACAATGGACAGTATTTGTTGTCAATGATAAAAATTTGAGCCTTCAAGCAAAAAATCAGGATTCTGGAAAACCTGTGTCTTCCTCTGTGAGCCTGGGATTCCCAACAGCTACAGACTCTCCTGATGAAGCTGACGGCAGTGTAGACAACGGTGCTTTTTGGATAAGGTGTGCTAAAACGTGCCAACATCTGGATCCGCATCACTCTGAACTGGGGTATTTGCCAGGTGACGAACACTCGATGCCACAAATTCACATATGGGTAGAAGAGCCGTTAAAAGTGCAAGACAGGCCAACAGATTTTACTACAACAGAGCATGCAAATTTCATATAATTCATCAAGTTGGTTTCAGAATTCATGTCCTAATCTTTAATAAACTACCACCTGTCCAGTTTGGGTCTGGTATCAAAGAAGAATAACAAGTACCTAAAAGAGGCATTAAAATACCCTCCTTTTCCCCAACAGTAACTAGTCTACGAGAGGCTGGACCTTCCTTGCATACTTCAGCCAGAGCATGTCACAATACATTGAACACAGCAGCAGACACGAAGATCTACCTGTCTCCTGGTAAGCCAGATAAAGGTATTTGCAAAAATATAAAACAGTGACACCCATATTGTTAAGTTTGTTGTTATTATTTCAGCAAATACTTCATTTTTTTCATTTAAAAATCATTATTTGCCATAATGTTAACATGTTATGGGTTTATTATTATTTTCTTTGTTTATAGTTACTTAATAAATACCAATTTTCTATTTTAATGAATTACTACTATTTTTAACAAATACTGTAAATGAATTATTAAATATTTTTTGGTTTTAATTTCTAATGTGGTAACTCTTAGATATAATACATAAGCTACAGTTCTTTAGTTTCAGTAACTATTCAGGGTAGGGGGGTCCTGAGACCAAAACGTTTGAGAACTGCTGGCCTAGAGCACAAGGTGATACCGTGTCTACTGAGAGCAACTGGACCACGCTCTGGCTGTGCCCCTTGACCTGGTTCCCACCCTGCCCAGGACTGGACCCTCCCCTATCACCTCCCCTGGAGGAGTGATCCGGCGCCTTGAACCCTTGGTCACCTTGTCCAGAGCTGGGGGTATCATCAGCAGCAGCGGCAGGAGCTTCCCTTGACCTCAATCTCCTCCTCCAAGTCCACAGAGCAGCATGGCTGGTCCTGCATGCTGGGGAGCGGGGAGAGAGCTCTGTGCACCCATGAGTGTGTGCGAATGAAGTCTAGAGCAGTGGTTTCCAGGGCAACTGGGACACTAGCAGATTCCCCAAGTCCCCACCCACCCTTCCCTCTGGGGACCCCTAGGCAGCCTACCAGGGAGCCCTAGGAATTCTGGGAACAGGTCAGGACAGGAGCACTCTGAGGGTCCTGCCCAGTGAAGCTTGGGAGCAGGGGGCTGGGAGACCAGCCTCCCTTAAGACCCCAGGTGGTGATGGTCCTGCACTGCCTACAGTGTTTTGCTGGGGACTCTGGGCAAGTTCTTGCCAAGACCCTTGCTCTCTGGCCTCAGTTTCCCTATCTGGGAATGGGGGTCACTGAGCTGTGAGACTCCAGCCTAGGGTTCCCAGTGCCTGCCAGCGATTGAACCTCCATACCTGGGGCCCTGTGCCTTTGGTGTGGCCTTGCCCCCACCTGGGCCCCTGGCAGTACCCCATCTCTGCAGGCTCACCCTCCCCCTCTCTACCCAACCACTGCCCCTTATTCTCCCTCATACCTCAAATAACCTGGGAATCTGTCCCTGAAGGAGGCCAGCCAGTCATCCACAGTCTCCCTGCTCTTGTTCTCGCTGGACTCGAAGATCCCCATGATGGGCTCCTGTAGGTTGGCCAAGCCGAGGTCCTGCAGACAGCAGCTGGTGGGTGAGCTCAGGCCCTGTGTTCCCAGCCTCCTCTCTCAGGAGGACCTATTTGCCTCACCCACCTGCAGGCCCACACCCCGGGTCTACCCCTCAGACCGCTGGGCCGGCACTGCTGGTCAGTGCTCTCTGGTCCCGCTGATGCTACCTCCTGAGCTCCCCACAGGCTGTCCTGGCCCTGGGGCGGGGGGGGGCTGCCTCCCCCCAGCTGTGACATCCCCACCCCTACCTCACAGCCTTTGCTGTGAAAGCAGGTGGCCCCAGCCTTGTGTGTGGGATTCAAGGCCCAGTGCTGGCAGGCCTGAGTGTGGTTTGGGTGAGGAGAGCACACCCAACCCAGGCAGGGAACCAGGAGAGACAAATACTAGAAAGCGAGAACTAAGCCCCCAGCACCTGGCCTACCCAAGGGGCCCATGGCTCACCCTGTGCTTCATGAAGATGTTGTACAACTTCCTGGTGTCTGTCTCCACCTGAACCCTGAGGCCCTCCCACTTCCTGGGCTCCAGCGTCCTGAGGTGGGTGGCCAGGGCCTGGATGTACTCCCCAAAGACCACCATGTGCAAACTTCACATGATTCTCTGTTCCCCCGAAAGACAAAGAGATGGAGAGGCCGGAGTGAAAGCTGTCCCAGGACCTGGTCTGGCTGGCCCTCGGGGATGGGGGTGGCGGGCTGCTACACAGACTCCTCTCACACAGGCCTGGCGGGGGCCTGTCCCCACCACCAGGCAGATGGAACCCCTGACCCCCGGGGTTGCAGGGGTGCCTGCCTCAGCTTCTCGGCAGGTCAGTCACCCCCGAGTCAGCCTCCTACCTCGTACACAGGAGTGGAGTGCATGTTGGGGCAGCCCTCCAGGCCTTGCCACAGGCACTGCAGAGCTCGAACCAGATCCTTGTCCTTCTTCCTGAAGTGGTCCCTCAGCTGACTCTGAGGACCAGAGGGTCAGACGTCACGGAGGCCCGAAGCGCCTGGCTGGCTGTGCTCTCTCCCACCCTTGCCTAGTCTGCTCCAGCCTTGTGGCCCCTGTCTCTCCCCACTGGGCGCACAGTCCTGGACCAGAAGGGCCCACACTGAGGGAGCCAGAGGCTCATCCCCTGTCTGTCCCAAAGGTCCATCCACTCTCCTCCTGCTGACTCCTGGGACCACCCCAGATTCAAACTGCAGCCCTTGACTTGAGCTCCTCCCTGGAGCCCTCCCAAGTCCTCCTGGGTATCTCCCCTTTCCCTTTGGTCCCCACAGGACCATAGAATGCTTTCTCCCTCCAGATCAGACTCCTGAGACATGGGACAAGGGCCTGCTCAGTTCTCAGTGGACACCAGAGGGGACAGGCAGAGGGGGCAACGCCAGCCCCCTCGGTGTTTAACCAGGGGACCCGAGCAAGTCCCATGCCCACTATACCGCAGCCCCCCAGTGCCCCATCTGCATGATGCAGCCTCATCAGCAACATCTGTAAAACATGGTGCCAAGTCCAATCTATGAGCTATGGCTGCCTGGAGCTCTGTGTAGAGAAGGACCCTGCAGCTCCATATGAACCAGAACAGAATGCTGGAATTGATTAGTAATGTCTGCCACGGCCCAGGGTGAGGCAAGGCAGTATGTAGGCCATCCTGGGAGGGCATGACCTCTCTGGGTCTTCCCAGGCACTCAAATCTCTGTGGAAAATCCAATGGCAGATGTCTCAGGAGCCGGGGCCCACAGTGGAAAATGAATCACTGGATAGAGCTACAGGAATGGAGACCCGCCCACCACCACCTCCCATCTTCCACCCAGGAAGCCCCATGAGGACAAGGCCCTGAACCCCACATTTGAACAGGAAATGCCTTCCTGTGGTTTCCACACCCTATGAAGCCACCTTGCCCTCTCAAGATTTCAGCTCTGGGGCCAGCCCCTGGGTATCCTCAGGGACCTCATCCTCTGATGTGTGTGGCAGCCACAGTTCAGGGGAGACAAAGATGGGCAGGTACAGAGGCTCTGGGATGCAGTGATGGGACTTCACCTGCCTGGGGATGCACTGGGGTCAGAGCCAGGGTCGGGGGAGGGGGAGTTGTCAGGCCTCAGCTGGCAGAAAGGAAGAGGGGACAAAGGGAGATGCCCTCAGTGAGGAGGGAGCCAGACCTCAGAAAGGGGGGAGAGGCCAAGCCCAGCCCAGCCCACCCACAGGGACAGGACCCCTCCCCTCAGGCCAGGGGGGTGGGGGGAGCCGGCCCTGCCCTTCTGCTCCAGACAAAGGCATGCGGAAGGCAGGAGGCCTGACCAGGCGGCCTGACCAGGAACTGATCAGCACCTCGTCGGTACCTTGCCCTGTCACCCCAGCAAAGGCTCTGCTGGGCTGGGCACAAGTCCAGGGAGACACAGGCAGGCGCCTCCTGCCTAAGTTCTCTGGGAGCAGAAAAGACCCCACACCAGGGCTGGCGCGGGGGTCACCTGGCACAAGGTTCTGACTCTAGGCAGGAGGTGGTCCCGGCCGTGGTCCTCAATGACATGGATGGTGCCTTGCACAGCAGGGCCCAGGGCTGGCAGCTGAACGTGTTCCTGGCTCAGCTCCCGCCACGTTTCCCCGGTGGGGCAACCAAAGGGGTCCATGGGGCCTGGCCCAGAGCCTGCCACAGCCCCAGGCTGCACACCAGCCACACCGGGGCCCCTCTGTGCACCCTTGGACGCTCCCTCATTTCTGAGGCTGTTGCAGTCTACCTCATCCACCGTTTTTTCTGACTGTACTTACAGACTCTTGTATTCACGCGGCTTAAAACGCAAAAGGTACAGTGGAAAAGTCCTCTCCCAGAGGCAGCCAGGGCTATTGGCGCCCGTTGTTTCCCTATGAAATGGTGCCATTCGGTACACACACGGGGGTGTTAGCCCCGCTCTTCTCACAGGTGGTCCGCATGGACCTGCCGCCTAGCCTGCCTGCTCCCACTGGCCCCGGCCGCACCCGACACACCCGCTGGCCCCGCCCACGCCCGGCCGCACCCCGACACA